AAAATTTAGAAGACTCAGAGAGAAGAGAGGTTTTCGTAACAGTTTATATACAGCTCACAACAATATCAAAGCGGTAAAGAGAGGCAATTAGCACATTAGGCTCAAACAAGTAATATCAGACAATCATGAAAGCCAAGCATAACAGTTATTCTAAGCTCAAATTCTGAACCCTGAACCAGAGATTCTGGGTTCGATCCCCAGCAGAGTCGCTAGAGCTGTCACACCTCCTTTTTTCTGAAAGGATAGGGGAGTTTTTTCCATTAAAGTAACATTAATCGAAATGGGATTATTTATTTATCAGAGTCGCCACTTGGAATAATTTATGGTGTCCCAAGTCACCGATTTATTTTAAATTCCAAATCGAGGAAATTTGACTCGATTTATGGTCCGCGAACACAGAAGACCGGGTAAGGAATTTTATTAACCCAGGAGAAGGTGTGAGGCACTCCCGAGTTTCGTGATTTTAGCACGGTCGCTCAACTATTAATAATTGGCCTAATTATCTGATTTATTACATGTTTAAAACCTATTGTGCATTTTTAACCTTTTAAATCGCTTTTAATTATTTATGGAATCTGTTTGAACAAGTTGCGATGTCGCACACTCGTTGTTTTTGAACACATTGCGAATCGCGTCACATGAAATGCACCCGCGGTTTACAACATGTTTGTTTTTATTATTATTTGAAGTTATGGTCGGGTCCCATGAAATGCACACCCGAATTGGAATTTACGTATCGTGACCATGCCACGGGAACCGTACCCATAGTCACGATGATTTNTTGTGGTTTGGATATGAATTTAGTTGCAAAATCAGAGAAGGGGATGGAAAGCTTGCTTCTGTTGCGCCGCTATCGATTTTCTCACGTCCCCTCCATTTCTCTATCTGATCCTCTCCCAGACTTCTTTCGTTCCCTTTCTTTTGATTTCTGCCTCCCCCGTTTTTTTCCCTTTTTCTTTTCCCTATGGTTAGCTTTAGGTCTATATATATAATGTGTGTGGGCAAAGTCTTGGAGAGAAAGAAATTCAAATCATGAAAAGTGTGTGAATAAAAGATCCAAAATAAGGTGCATGTGATTACTCCAGAACAATCACGTGAGGGGAGAGAATATGCCTTATGAGTTAGTTATTTTGGGATATGGAGGAATCTTGACTAAAAGACAAAATCTCAACAAGAACAAAAGAGTTGGCACAATTTGATTGGTTCTTTATTCTTTCTTTTTCTGATTTTCTTGTAAAGGATAACAAAAAAAAAAAAAACTTTTAAAATATTATTCCTACTAAATTGAAATAGCAAAATTAAATATTAACTAGCTACTTCCAGTCAAGGAACTATTAAAAAGAAATTCCAAAATTACTAACATACTAAAAATAAGAGGAAAACAAATTTTTGTGTGTTTTCTTTTCTTTTGCCAATTAGAATAAAATTGTATACTCTATCAATGTGAAATTTCTTTTTTTTTTGTTGATTTTTAATTTATCTAAAATAAACCTATAAAAAGGTGAAATAAAACTACAATATTACGATTAAACTTAAAACTATTTAAATACTAAAAAGTGAGTTAAAAACTCAAATATAGTCAAAAATTAGGTGCTCGCACTAGCAGAAGGCCGTAATATTCGCGACCGGCTAGATATCACAGCGTGGATCTCGGCACGTATCGATGAAAAATCGACAATCAGTTAAACAGAAGATTTTTACCTTTTATAGAGTTGTACTTGGAGTAGGATTCTCCTACTATATAAAAGGGGTCTAATAATTCATTAGACACATTGTAGCACGCATTCCAATGCAACATACTACTATTTTCATTGTAATTATAAGCTTTTTCTCGTTCATAAAAGTTGTCTGCTCTGCGCCCGGATCGAGGGTGAATGCTTTATTAAGGCTGGAATCATCCTCCTCGCGTGGTTTGAATTTAATTTATTATATCTTTACTTGTCCATTCTAACTCAATTTATCGTTTTATATCAAATTAATCCGTATAACTTTAAAATCACTTACAAATTTAATTATTATCCGATTTTGAAGGCAAACAAATATCATTTTAGAGCTGAAATGAAATATATCCAATAAACGATAGTTTAATAACTTCTTGGTTTTTTCCCGGTATGTTTGTTTAAAACCTCTTGGGGTTGAGACAAAAAGTCTGCAAAAAGTTCACGTGCAATAAGCGAATCCTTACAAAATTTGTTGATAAACAAGAAACTAAACAACAGCAGCTAGCAACTTGCTTACACACCCTCGTAGTTGCAACGTAACTTGCTTTGGAGATACCTTGCTTCTGCTTTCTTTTATTAGTAAGACCTTCGTGCCGTTTGAATAAATCTGCAATCGGATGCAATGTATCTGCATCGGGTTCAATCGAATTCAGTATTTTTGACGCGAAATATAAATTTATGTGCAAAAATTTACTAATATTACAATAAATAGCAAAATGAACCTATAACTTTAAAAAGACAATAGGTTCAATACTAAAAACCTTAAAGGTTGAATCTATAAAACTTAAATCCTAGATCCGCTTTTCCTTGCCATAGGTTTATTTGTTGAGAAAGGTTTCAGTGCATGTATCGAATCATATTAATTTACTATGGCTAAAAGATAAATTAGGTAAAATTAATAATTAAGTATGGACAAGTGATGAATCTTATGTAAAGAACATATGTCATGTACCTATTGTTTTGATGTAGTCGCGATGTGAATTAATGAGTAAATACCCTAAAAGCTTCTTAAACTATCATTTTATTTGTCAATTACATACTTAAACTGTCGTGTATCCCCAAAAAACTATGAACTATATTGTTCTTCATATTAAAACCTCATCTTTGCATTTTTAGATGTGTATCTAGTACACGCTCCTAATTATCTAAAAAACATGTCATGTGGCACTACACATGGCTATTTAACTCAGCCTAAAATCCTCCTAAACTATTTTTTTTTGTTAATTACCTACTTAAACTACCTAGTATCCTAAACCCTCCTTGAACTATATTTCCCTATATATTAAAAAACCTTCTAAATTCTTAGCGATGTGTCTACATAACTATATTAACTTATGGTTTATATTGAGTTTTTGGTGTAATTTACTCATGATGTATTCTCGCATGACTATTTAATTCTAGGATTTTTGGCCAAAATAAAATCTAATATGATGTGTTACTTTTAGGTTTAATTGTGGTTGTGCTTTATACTAGACTCCACTTGAATAAGCCCTTATTTACATTCACTTTGCAGCACACACAAAAAAAAAAGAGACCAAATAAAGTCATATAGTTTGGGTTTAATATTACACAAAAGATTGCACAAATCAACATTCCACAAATAAGAAACCAATTAGCTAGCAACTGCATTCTCTAATTCTAAATTATGTAAACAAGGTTCAAGGGATTCAACTTCATTCTTTATAATTTGGGTTTAATAAGAATATTTAAATGTGTGTTCTTTCAATAATATGGGTAAAACATGAAGGAAGACTAAAATAAGAAAGAAAATAAACCATTTAAGAGGAAACAAGAGAGAGAAAATTCAAAGGGGAATTCATATGGAGAACTGAAAAAGAAAGGTGAAAAAATAAAGAAG